AATAGAAGATCAATAAAGATGATGTAAAATGTCTTGTGTCTATTTATGCATCTAGTAGTGAAGAAACAAACAAAAAAAAGAACATTTTTCAAATTTTAATTAGAAAGATTGATACTAAAATTATCCAAAAAGCATTTATTGGTAACAGTTGTTTTATTTTTTAAAATGTTTTTGTAAGAGCATTACTTTATATCATTTCCACTTAAAACCTTGTGATTTACGTCGAGATCATTTGATAGCCGATTATATTTTCAACTGTTATATATTAAAAGATATACATTTAGAACCCAACCGACCAGCATCAGAGGGTCTATGGATTAGTGGGTTGACGATTATGGCTATTGATTGGAGTACAGTACTCTATAATAAGGGCTTTAGATTTACTCTGATACAGTGAAAACTGCTTAGGCGACCACCTGTATTCGACGGGCACCTCTCAAAACGGACAAAATTTCTGGCACCGGATAGTTTATCCATAGAGTCTTCGTATAAGTTACCTGTAATAAACGACCACCTGCGTAACGCGACCGCGGTCATCGATTTTTGGTCCGAAACAACATACAACTGTAATAAGCGACCACTTTTGGTGGTCGCTTATTACAGTTGTTGTATATCTGATCTAAACTATTGTTCAACATCGTTTCCTCTCTCCTAATATGAATTAGTCTAAACTCTTGTTCGAACTCACCTCGGGCACTTCTCCTACCCTTGAAATTAGGTGCATGTGTTAATGAATTAGTCTAGCAACAAAGGAAATTCATTTCAGTTGGTTCGAAATTGTCCTAAAAACAAAAGAAATGCAAAGTGCTGTCATTAGAAGATCGTATTAAAGTTATCACAACAGCAATTAGCGGAGAAGTTTAACTGTGGGAAAACGAAATTGATTTTACCGTAGACCTACAGTATTTTCCTTGGGGGTGTGGGTACTTGTTCGTGCGTAATTAATCACTACAAACAAGGTCACATATAATAAAAGATTAAAATTTATTACATACATGAATTATGGTATGACTGTACAAGTTAAACACGGGAGCGATAATACACGCGTCTGGAGCGAGGTCCGAATCCAAAAGGAATGTGATGTCATAGGTCAGGTTGCCAGGTCTGTTCAGTTCAGGGGTTCCTCCTTGTGGCAACTTTGGGATTTATCACCAAAGCTGTCGCCACAGGGGTATAAAATATTGTACACGATACAATTAAACGGCTGATCTCATCGTTTGATAAAATGTATTTTTATTTATTTATTTATTTTGATGCTCATATACAGTACAGTACATTTGCGATAAATAGTTTCTGTATCAACCGACCTTAATTCCACGATATTTTTAGAAAAATAATATCTAAGTAATTTTCGCACGCAAAATATTCAAAAAACAATAAACNTACAATTTAATATAGAATTTTGCTTATTATATGGTTGTTGTTTTCTTTTATTTAAGGGTTATTAGGGTGGTTCTTTCTTGTTCACTGGACATTACTGGTATTAATTTAAATGAAGTAAATAAAAATTTTAACAGTTGATTATTCATGTAATTTTAACTTAGTTTCGTATTAATTTGAAATAAAATTGTAATTAATTTTTTAAGAATTGGTAAAAGAATTTTTTTGATAGTGTCAGAATAATTTGTACAATGAGTAAAAGACCTTTTGGTTAAGGTCCTTAAAGGCTGCAGTCTTATGTATGTAAGGGTTGTGGGAGCTTGCAGGTATAAACAAGGGTGTGTATGTTGGTAACAAACGTTTGTTATAAACCAACATACACGCCCTTGTAATATTGACATTTTGTTGTTTCAGGGTTGAGAATAATCCTCTATCTGATTAATCTATTGAATGCAGGATTGTTCAGAATTTTGACTGATAGATTCAATTTATTTTTAGGTTCTCTACCCAAATACGTTGCATTTTTTGTTTTAAAATCGAATTTAGAATATAAATTGAAGTAAGAAAATGTAGAAAAAAAAATCAGATTTTCAATTTTTTATTGAAAAATTAATATATTATTATATAGATCTATAAGCTATGCATTATTTATATACTAAAGTGATGTATATGTAAATATAAACTGGATATAAATGGATATTTTTAAACTATTGTGGGATTGTAGCTGAAAAGTGTAGTGATATTTGGCTTGTAGAAATAGTTGATTTTGAAATTATTACCAACCAAAGTGAAACAGTTTTGGTTTAAAGGAATTCAAAAATAAATAAATTATAAATTGTTTATAATTTTATGTACAGGGTGTTCTGCCAGGTAATGGCAATATTTTTACATTGTAAGAGGATCCTAAAAGTCTTATAAATATAGTGTTCAAACGTATTGCTTCAGTACTAGAAGAGGCAAAAGTTCAAATTAGCTACCCTCAAAATGTTACAGGTTCATGCCTCATTCCAGAATATTTTAAATTAATCACTTTGCATTAAATTTAATAATTAGAAATAAGATGATTGCTTAATTGCCTACCTTCATTTTAAGTTACCTAATAACTTTATAATTAATTAGCATGTTATAGCCCGAATATTCAATAAAATCTGGTGGTATTATTTCATTATTAAGTTTTATACAATCAAATGTGTTGCATATGGAAATATTAAGTAAAATGGAACCTGATATTCATCCTTGTGAGATACTTTTACTTTACTAATACTTTTATATTCAAAACATTCTTGTGAGATATTTTGAATATAATAGTAGATGACTGGCACAACTCTATTGTTAAAGGAAAAGTATGATGTACAGGGGCAAGCCACTACTAATTTGAGGTGGAGAGTATATATTTTAAATTAAATAAATTAAAAATATGATTAAAAATTGCAGCCTGGCATTGTGACCGTGTCGCAATAAATAATTCCTTGTTGAAAATACCTTTTCTATGACCATTATCAGACTACAATTTTTTAAATTTGAATGATAAAAAGATATCAATTTATTAAAATGTTTATAATTTATTACCATGTATTTTGTTATATTTAAATTGTGTTGGAATGTATGGATTGTGAAAAGTCATCTTGTACTGAATAGTCTGTATTTGATATTTGAATTCAAGAAATTGTAAGCTATTAGTGTCATTGAAAGTGAGCGAAAATATTTATTTATATGAATTACTAGTGAGTGCTGTTTGTTTAGTCATATATATATACTGAAATAACCACCAATTGCGATTGAGGTGAATTCATTGCGAAATGGTCAAATTTCCTGCAAGTTTCTCAATATCATGACTTAAATTTTGTAAATAATTTTAATTTATAAGTATCAAATGATCTATTTTTCTGAATATGTATTAATATTTATATTGAAAAAGTTTTAATTTTATAATATAAAAGATCTAATGTTTTATCAAATGTAATATACACTAAGGCATTTTATATATTTGTTCATTGAGGATTGCTATCATCTTTCATGATGCGTTACTTTGTAACAGCATTTGTTTCTATAGTAACGANAGATCAATAAAGATGATGTAAAATGCCTTGTGTCTATTTATGCACCTAGTAGTGAAGAAACAAACAAAAAAAAAAGGAAGACACGGTCTCTGAAATACATAACTATTAAGCTAATCAAAAACCATTATGTAATTATAAAAATTACTGCTTAAGCTGACTGGTATATAATAAAAGTTAGGCTGCAGTAAGAAAACGACATTTAGATATGACATTATTGATGACTCAACTTAATATTTGTTTATATTTTGTTAAATAGTTTTTAAAACACGTCTTGCTCTAAGGGGTCCAGAAAGAGCATTTTTCATGCTTATCATACATTTACATGGTTGTCATTAGATAACCAGATGTTTGGTGACAGACAACATATCTGAGTTGAGTCATCCATAAAAACTTCTCGTGTACTTCAGACTCGAATCTGTCCATCAGAATGGCCAACCGATAACAAAGAAAAATTGATGATAAAATACAAGAAGTTTAGGTTTATTTAAGATTAAATAGTAAAGGTTTTATTTGAATAATGTTCAACCTGAAATAGTAACCACATCTTGTCTCTAAAGCTTGAAATAATAATTTCCCTCGAATACTACTATTTGAGGATTTCCGTAAACTTGGGGAAATTACAATATTTATTAATTTCACATTAACTATAGTAGCTAGATGCTATATTTAAGCAACAAAAATAAAACTCTTAATGGAAAATGAGATGTAAAATTACAATATGCAGTAGGTGTATTGTTTAATTATTTTCTTATTATTAGTATAACACTCGTTATAAAGAAAGATATCGGCTGCCATTCTGAGTATTATAATATGTTTAAAAATCAAGCTTTCCTAAATAAATATTTAATTATTATTAATAATAGACAACAGAGAATTTTGTGCAAATGAAATAATAACCACCCTTGAACAGTAACTACCCTTGAATAGTAATGTATAGAAAATATGCAGTTCACATTTTTAAGTTTTTTTTAATGAAATTAAGATATGATAGAATCTCTAGAGTCGATCATGTGCCAGTTTGATGTGTCCAGTAATCCAACATTCCGCTGCGGGGTGATACAAATGAAATTTTTGTGTTACCACTTGATGTATGTAACAGAAAGAGAGAGATTAATATACTTGTATACTGTCAGTTGTTAGTTTATTGCATATATGGTCGGCAAAACAGTTACAATTGTGATTAATATGATAAAGTAACCTGTGAACCAAATATGCTTTTTACTGTATGATATGTACTGTACATGCATAGAAAATCCAGTAATCTGACAATATGTTGTAATGCAAACTCTCTGGTGCAATGTATATCAGATTACAGAGACTCTACTGTATATTATTTTACTCTACTGTATTTTAAAATTATAATAAGCAGTTTTTCATGTTTGAAATTATAAAGTAAATTAAATAAATTAATTATTTTAATATGTAAGATAAAATTTTGATTTAAAATAATTAAGCTGAATATTAGTTTCTTGCATTTTAATTTCATCAAAGTGAAAAGTCTGCCAGTTTCAAAGTAACATGCAAATTAAATTTATAAATTTATATCTGAAAAAATAGTTTATATTAAGTTACTAAATGGTGATTCACTTATTTCAGTTGGGAAGTCCTGAAAAAATTGTATTAGAATATGATTGGGAACAACCGGCAGCAGATGAGAAAACTTTGACTGATGCAAAAAACGAAAATGTCTTATCCGAAAATGTTCAGAAACTTCAAAATTTAACTCTCGTACTTCAAAAATTGCTTCAGATGGCATCAGCAACATTTAATGATTTTAAAACAAAGCAGGTATGTGTTACAATGGACAATTTTAACTATAAAAATGAATACCAAAACTTAATCTTTTATAATTCAAAAATTTTAATATAAAATTTTTAAAATATTTTAGCAAGAACCGCTATCTCCAACTTGTCGTAATAACAATAGATCGACCAATGCTAATTCTGCTGGGAAACCAAATACGTCAAGAAATTCTACAAGAAATCCAAATATCAGATCAGGTGTTAGAGGAAATCAAACTTCAAATATTAAGAATGCCAACCAAAAGTGTTCGGAGCAAAATTTAGAAATGACGAATAACTGTCAAAGTGCAATCAAAACTATGGGTGACAATATAACAAATATTAATCAGACATCCAAATCTTCTGCAAACGATAACATTCAAGCAGACAAGCACGTGTTTGTCGTTCCTGTTGGTACGGCTCCTCGAACAGTTAAGCAACCTGTTATTGCATCTCCTGACGATATTAGAGAGCAGCTAGATGTAAGTTTTTGTCTTTTATTTCAGTTATCCTATAAATTCCCACTGTCATCTATCTGTTCGTCCAACTATCTCTCTGTCTTTCCTTAATCTAGAATAGAGTTAGATAGATGAAAGCCATGATCAGATATGGAAAGATTAGGAGCAGGAGGCCTCAATTAACTATATATGAACTTCTGGTTCAAAACAGAAGTCACATTATTTTAATTCAAACATTTTCCCCTAAAAGGTATTAGATAGATAACCTGCACAACTATTGCTAATGGAAAAGTATGATGTACAGGGGCAAATCACTACTAGTTTGAGGTGGAGAGCATATATTTTTAATTAAAAAGTTATTAAAAATATGTTTAGAAATTGCAGCTGGCATTATGATGATGTCACAATAAATAATTGCTCATTACTTTTAGAAATAGATTATAATTAAATAATTTTCACTATTAAGTATGTAAACAATATAATTAAATACATTATAATAAAAACCACATTATCTTTTTTTTTGGAATGTTAATAATTAAGTAAGATTAATGATTGGAAAAACACTTTTCAAACAACATTCCAATTTAAATTAAATATATAGGTTGTCCGCAAAGGTACCGCATAAGTCATACATCCTGCACTTCCACTTTGTGATAGATGGTGTTATTGCTTGCTCACAGATGTTCTGGTTTTGGAAGGCTTCTTTGCCAATCACATAATCTCCCTCTAGGTCTCCAGACTTTACTTCCCAATATTTTGTGGCCTTTGACAGACATGTCCAGCATTTGTTGTAGGAGAAACTGCAATATTGTATGTGAAACTTTATCTTAACTTTTCCCATTGCACAGTAATTTTTCAGACACCCTGCATATATTAGTCGTAGAAATCAGTTGTGAGTCCACGGATTTTTACGGGACTCTTAAAAATCTGAATTTTCTGTTAATTTTAAATATCCTCGGAAAAAACCCGAAGAATTTGAACTAGATCAGATTCACCAATTGTATAACAACTAGCTGGGAAAGTTTACACTTAGGTGTGAAGAATGCTCCGTCATCGTCAACAAAAGTCAATCACATGTCAGCTTTCTCACGAAAAGATAAAAGGAGAGATCACCAGAAGCTCACGGCGTTCGCACACGAAAGGTATTCTTGTGTTCTTCGATCTCCATGCCAAGGACTGTGATCCCGTCGGAGAAGACACCAAAGACACCACACCCTTCCATACAGATGACGTTTGCCAACACTCCCTTCCATCGAGAGGTATTTAGGGGATTTAGATTTTGAAGCTCTCTCTCTCTCGAACTAGAAATTAGGTCAGTGACATAGCTACGAAAGTAGTCGCCATATTCTGTAAATATTTTAATATAACTGCATTTAACCTTAGTAATAAGTTTGCCTCCTTAGTTTAGATTTAGTTATATAATAAATGCTTGTTATTATGTTGAATCTGTCTCCTGTCATTTAAAGACACCTGTCATTTAAGGACACCTGCTGACTTACCGACGCACTCTCCACTCGATTTGCCCTCCTAGTTGTCCAACTGATTCCGAGATCGGGTTTTCCCAACCCCTGCAGAGTAAGTGGTCATTTGGGGATTAACCAGTGACCCACTGCTAATCTCACACAGTTATCATTCAGATACATTATGAATTATATAAGAAATCATTGCAAATTATGTTACAATTAATAGAAATTCACTAAAAGCAATAAATTCATAGATAACTTTCAGCTAAAAGCATTTTTTAACAATTAAATATATGTTTAAAATGAAAAAAAATTGAAAATACTGTTTGAGAAATGAAAAAAATAATAGATTTGTATAAACAAGTTATCACAAATTTCTTTTTGCATTGCATTGTTATTGAATAGGCAATAACATTTAAATCATTAAAGTAACAAAATTTTAAATTTTTACAGAAATTTATTCCGACATTACGCAGAGGAGGCAGCAGAATGAGAAGTCGTAAACCTTTGGTAGTTCAGAGGCCTCTGTTACCTCGTGGAGGCATAGGGCCTCTCGACGGTTCCCAACCTATGACAGTTGTCCATTTAGTGCCTTCCAGTTCACAAATCACTCCAATTACAGCAGTCATTCCATCAACGGCAAATCGGGGTGCTGGAAGCAATAAAGTTGTTCTTCCACAACCAAAGAAAGTTGTGAAGTTGTTGCCGACAGGTAATTTTTATTCAGTTTGTTACTTGTACTGTATATTTTTATCATTTTTGTGATCTTATTTTTGAATTTTAGAATTTTATACTCTTTATACTTACATTATGAAGTATACAGTTTAATAACAATGTGATGGTTAGATGAGTGTACAGAAATAATGACTTTTTTTAATCACACGACTTATGAGTGAATTGGTACAAACTTCTCTCTTAACGTCTATTTTTGTTGTTGTAGATTTTATTTCTTTCTTATTTACACCATTTTTGTTCCATTATTATGAATATTAATTGATGATCCTTTTTGAGTAAATTATACACTATCCATTAATTCTTAATTAAACATTCTCAGTCATCCAGTATGATATTTATTCTCCACTCTTTCCCCCTTGAAACTACTTAAACTAATGAAATGTTTATGCACCTTGTAAAGTTTGATTTTTATAAATTGTTCACAACATTTCATGTATTTTTGTTGGTGTTTTATTCCCAGTTTTATTTAAAATTTAATGTTAAAATATTCAATTTTAGAATTTAAAATGACACATCAAGAAAGATTTTCATTAGATTTTAATTTAATACACTCTTCCTGTGTTTGTTGAATATTTTTGTTTCAATTCATTTGTATTATTTTCTTGCTGTGCTTTGTATTCATTCACAAATATAAAAACTGATTCGATCTTGCATTCTTTACCACAATTTATTAATAGAATATTCAATTATCTCATTGTATTTCAATCTGAAAAAACTTAACACACAACTGTTTCAGTAAAACTAAATTTTTTAAACAGTGTTATGCAAAATTTCAATTTTAGATTATTTATTTATTAAATTATAGTTTGTATCTTTCATTTTAAATGATAATTTGCTCTTATTATTTCTATGTTACTACTATTATTACTATAGCATTAATTTTTTTTTTTTTTGAGATCGTGGACAGCCCACTTCTTTTCTTTGCTCTTTTCTTTTGCGTCTTTTTAATTCTTCCCTTCTTACCCCCTTGTGGCCCAAAATTCTTGACAGACATATCGATTTCTGTCAAGTTTTTGTCAGAAAAATTGATAATGAAAGTAAATCAATAATTATTTTGATCTTAATGTGAAATTTAAATCTATAGAATGAGAAGTAAACTCTTTAATTTTGTTAATAATAATAATAATAAAATATACATTTATAGTTTTTTATGAAATGTTTGATAAATAATATTTCAGGTACACCTGTTAATATGCAACCCATACCAGTTCCCATATTGAAGACAGTTGGAAATAATAGTGGCAATGTGGTATTACCAGCAAATAACATATCAACTGCCCAAATAGTTGTTTCTACCTCTACAGTTGTACCAACATTGGCAACTACAGCATCTAATGTTACTACTTCAGTGCAGCATGCTACTTCAGACCTTGCCACAATTCTCTCTACTTCGGAATCTACTGCTGCATCTCACGAAACAACAAATAAAACTTTGAGTAACTCCCCAATAAGTACAATTGTTTCTAGTACATCATCATCTGTAACTATTCAGGTAAATGAATATATAATTATATTATTTGATTTTAGTTGAAGAATAATTCAGAATTAATAATTTATTATACTTTTTTTATTGAAGCATGTGCCATTGGATGTATTATCAACTGCCAAAAATCCATCTTTGTCAAATATATGCATCACAACAACTTGCAGCTCATCACCACCACAAATCTCTATTCCGGAGAGTACATCTTCACCTACACCAACATCACCACCAGATATCTCATCACTTTTAGACATTTCTCTTAGTGAAGGTAATTATGATTGATAAACTAAATAAAATAAATCAAAATTTTAATATTTTTAAATACTTTATTCTCTAACTATCTTTTTCAATTGATTTTCTAGCAAATTTACAAACAGAATCAATTCCAGAACCCGGTTCAGGGCATCTATTAGGGTTTAATGAGAATTCAGATTCAAGTTTATCAGGTAATATTTTTGACATATTATGATTTGTTGGTTATGATGATAATATGATTGAATATTAGAATGAAATTATGATATTTATTCAAACTAATCAAAGTGAAATATATTACATTTTAAATTCTGATGATGATTTTTTTAATATATCGTAAGATATACAAATTACCAAACTGTGTATGGTTTATTCTATGAAGAGATCGTTAAATTTAATTGCAGTAATCAAGAACAGAAAATACAAAACTGTATTAGTTATTAAAGAAACATATTAAAATTACTGAAAGAAGTATGAACAGAAAAATTTACTATGCTTCTTTATTAAACCAAAGAATCAATGTAATTGCTTTTTATACTTCAATTTTTATGCAATTTTAAGAAGCACATAATATACACAGATAGATTATAAAAGAATTTTATAAAAAAACAATTCAATTTGTTAATGAAAATTTTTTGTTTAAATTCTTTGTCTTGTGGGCACTAAGACGGCCTTTGTTGGCAAGGCCATTATGGGTTTGACCAAACTCATAATGGGAGAGCTAAGTCATGAGGACTGGGGTATCTGACAAATGATTCCTGAAAAATTATTGGGTTTTCAACCTGTTCAAGTTTGATTCTGGGTCCACCATAACAGTAGACTGGCACATTAACTGTTCAGTCATTTAATTATCAATGAAAATTTGGTATCCATCAAGAATAATAAGTTTTAATAATTTTTAGATGTTTTTGAAGCTGTATGTAGTCGTTTTCTTTCATAGTAAATTTAAATGTGATAAAATGTTTGATAAAAGTAATTAGATTTTTAAATTATAACTTAAGTTCCAATAGACAGCTATTTAAATATCGACGAATGAAACTNAATTTGATCTCCCAATCAGAGATGGTTGATCTTAGAAATTACCTTCCTCATTAAATCTTATAATATTTTATCTATTTTTTTAAAATTTTAATATTAATTGGATTACAATTACATGAATAAGTGAATAAAAGTGAATTACAGTACATGTAGATGATAAGTATTTAAGAAAATGATAAACATACTTAAAAAATTTGTATGCAAATAAATTTTCAGAACTTAGTTGAAATAACTTAAATCAAAGAAAAGTGAACGAAATCTGTATCACCATATTGATTATTGATACAAACATGATATTGATTATTGATACAAACATGATTCAAGCATTCTTTTAAGCATATGATTTACGAAGTAATAAATGCAGTAAATACTGGATAATAATCAAAACATTTACATAACAAAAAATCCATATGATTTATGAGATAACATAAAAGGCACATGAAATGAATATCTGTATGACTTATTCTTTTTCAAATAATAATCTATTAATTAATTTGTGGTGAATGATTGAATGCTTGGCATTATTAATAACCAGACTGATAATCTTATTTTATTCAAACTATATATTTATTAAATTAAAATGTCTTGTGTTTTCCATTTTTTAGGTATTTTCTAAAATGTTTTTAACTTATTTAATAGATTTCCTGAAATTGATTTTTTTCACACATCTAAAGTTCAACAAATGATGGTGAATATTTTATTCTGTTTTGCTAGAGAATATCCACATATTTCTTACAGACAGGTAAGTAAATGAAAATTTTCATGATGTTAAAATTTGCTTTTGATTTAAAAAGTAATAATTTGAAATGTTTTTCTGAAATAATTTTAGGGAATGCATGAATTACTTGCACCAATAATATATGTCCTTCATTCGGATCAAGAGGCATTTTTTTCTGCTAGTAAGACTGCATCTATAAAATTAATGTAAGTTACTTAATTTAATTTAATTTAATTAACATATTTATAATTTTTACATTTTTTTTTCTTTTTCAGGGAAGTAATTAAAGTTTTATTGGATCCATCTTATACAGAACATNTTAATGAAAATTTTTTGTTTAAATTCTTTGTCCTGTGGGCACTAAGACGGCCTTTGTTGGCAAGCCCATTATGGGTTTGACCAAACTCATAATGGGAGAGCTAAGTCATGAGGACTGGGGTATCTGACAAATGATTCCTGAAAAATTATTGGGTTTTCAACCTGTTCAAGTTTGATTCTGGGTCCACCATAACAGTAGACTGGCACATTAACTGTTCAGTCATTTAATTATCAATGAAAATTTGGTATCCATCAAGAATAATAAGTTTTAATAATTTTTAGATGTTTTTGAAGCTGTATGTAGTCGTTTTCTTTCATAGTAAATTTAAATGTGATAAAATGTTTGATAAAAGTAATTAGATTTTTAAATTATAACTTAAGTTCCAATAGACAGCTATTTAAATATCGACGAATGAAACTAAATAAGAAATTACACCTCAGTGCAAAATTTCCAGCAAAGAAATTCAATATTCTAATGTTTTTGGCCACTATTTCAATGGCCCTCGTCAGGAATTGTGGAATGGAAAAACTGTTCTATAAATAGAATGCCTTTGTGGTTGTGTATTGATGTTTATCCAATGAAACTAATATATACATGAGTTGAGCTATATGTCTAGTCAGATATTTTATAAATTTCATTGTTTAAAATATCTGTCAAGTATGTTTTTTCTATAAAAGAATGAATATACAATCATATTCTTATAATAAAAAACAATATACAATAAATTTTTTATATTTATGAGTTCACTATATGTGACTCATATATGTGACATATTTAAACAATTATTATTATTTGTAAGTTTAAATTTACACATTATGATTATTGACAGTTGTGATTGTGTAATTTTACGATCTGTCAGGTCTTCTAAATTGAATGGAATAAGTATTTCACTTTATGTGTTTGTAATTTATTGAAAATAAGTAATGTTAACTTAGTAAGTTTCGCTGTATATAAATAACTGTAGTATATATATATGCATATTATACAGTCTACCCCAAAAGTTTATTTTTTAATGTTCTGCTTGTAGTAGCCGGTCCTTACAGCACACATTTCTTCCTCTATTCTTCTTTATTTTGAGCACTTTTTTGAGTTCTTCATATTTCTTACCTCCTTTCAGATCATCAGCCATTTTAATCGAATACTTTTTCTATATACATTAGTTATTATAACACTGTATTATTATATTAACACATTATATTAATTAATACTGTAGAAATATTTTTAAAATTTATACAATAGTTGTTGCCTATTCATTTATTTCTACATTATTAATGATTTTACAAATACAGAGTAAATTCAATGTACATCGTTTTTCATTAACTTTATATGCATATAAATTACATATGCAAATTATATGCAGATTTTTCATTATTTACAATAAGCTTGTTTACCAATATCTTAAAAGTTTTCTATTTTGCAGCATATATGCTAAATTTTTTTTACAGGTTTATAATTGTTTAATATTATATCAATGACTGATATATATATTTAATCATAGAAATTGAATGACTCTTAAATATAGTCGACCCCCCTATAACACTGTTGATTTTTCTGTTTTATATGAATTCCATGTTGTATGAGTCACTTAGATTTTACAAATACGTGAGCCATTCACAGCCTGGCACACGTATTTGTAAAATCTAAGTGACTCGTACAACATGGAATTCATATAAAACGGAAAAATCAACAGTGTTATAGGGGGATCGACTTGTACAAGGTGATCAAAAAGTCATTCACATCAAAGTTTTAATTTGTGTAAATTGTGTCAAATTATTTTTATTACGTCTCATGTCATGATATGACACTATAATGACTACTGACTATTAATAAAAACTCTGACTTTTGTGTGAAAGTCATAAAATTGGCTGCAGTGTAAGTTTGTTCATTGAGGAAGTGATATGGTTTTTATCCAGGATTAACAGATTTTCATTGTTGAGCATTATTTTACCAGTTGCTCGTGTTGCTGATGAGTTTCATCAGAAATATTCAGATTCTGCAGTTCTTGAGAGAATTCTTTGGCAACCATCTTATTTCTAAAGGATTGTGGCTCCCAAGATTGCTAGATTTGTCACCCACAAATGTTTTTCCTTGGGATATTTCTGTGTATAAAAATAATCCATACACAATAGGATGGACTAAAAAGAAAAATAATAAAGGCGATTGCCAGCATCAGTTTTCAGGTACTCCACAAGATGGCATCATACATGTAAAGAGCACAGACCTGCACTCGTGAAAGAGGATGCCATTTGGAACATATGTTGTAATAACATGATTTGGTTTTGCTTTTCTTAAAGATCAGATTATAAATGTTATTTTTACTACCTTCTGTATTTTTATACATTAACCTTACAAAATAAAATTGATTTCTAATATGCACATGCATGACTTTTCAATCACCTTGTGTTATAATATTGCTAATTATCATCATTATTATTTTAATCTTAAATCTAAAATAAAAATAAAATGTTTTAAACATTTAATATGCTAAAATATAATTTATATGGGTATCATTTTACTATTTTTATTGTATTTAGCTGCATTTGGATTACCAAGTTCATTGTCCTCGAATAAGATTGAGAAAAACATTGGAAGCACTCAAACATGTATTTCCTCCTGCTTAAGTAGGGATCCAGTTGTGGCTGCTCGTCAGTCTACACCACCTCAAAGTCCTCCTTCATCGAGCCATTTCAGGATATGTTCACCGGTGCCCGAAAATCATTGGCTTAATGGCGAAGTATATAATTTATAAATAAAATAACTTAAGGCAAATATTTTATTCCTATTTTATTAAAATAAATCTCTTTTTGTTTCAGAGTGCTGATTTTTCTTTAAGTAGCTTATTGAATACTTTGGAGAGTCCGTGTAAACCGACACCCGTAGTTCCATCCATTAACATTACGACAGACAGTTCAAATTTGGATCCAATTGCTAGGTTGGCACCTGATGTAAGTACTTCTTTTTACAAAAAGATGCATTAATATTTATTAAGATTTACAAAAAGTAAATTTTTTTTTATTTTTCAGGTTGATACACAATTACAGTGCCTGATGAACGAAAGCAGCGTCGACTATGTGGCAAAATTTGCCGATCTGGCTGCACAAATTGCCTCCACATCGTCCGCAGAGACCAAATCGACCTGACGTCTCGACGTCAATTCACATTTTGTATATTATCTTGTACATAGACAGTCAAAGCGATAACAATCGTGCATATTTATAACACTGCATAGTTTGCATTGCATCAATCCACCAACTTTTAAAAGGGGCCTTTTAGCACCTCATCTCAATGTATAAAATAGCTCACACCCTAACATTTCTTTATAATGTACAGTATAATTATTATATAGGTCCTCATTGGCGACTATTTATCAGTACCAAAGCTCATACAAATATACGAATGTTAATTTTGTGTAAATTTGTATTTGTCTGATTAAGACTGTTGTTGTGATTTTAAAAAATAATTTACTTTTAAAACAATGAAAGAAAATAAGTTTTAAAATGTTTATGATAAAATTCAAGCACCTGGTTCACTTTATACTGTTTACTATATATACATACATACATATATATATATATATAAACCAGTTTGAAGGATCTTTTAAAAGAAATTCTAATACTCAAATTTCAAATTGAAGAAACAATGTGTAGATTCTTACCTCAGAATCATAATTTTAATTCATCATATTTCATGAAAATCTTCACTAAGAAACATTTGCGTTGTATCATAAAATAATTTATATTTTGAGCAAACGAATTTCGTAAATGTTTTTATTAATTTGTAAAATGTTGTGTTATGTTTGACTATGTGAACATAAAATTTTGCTATTAAAAAATTTGAAAGAAAGGAACAAAAGGATTAAGATTTTAATCTAACAAATAATAATAATAAAAAAAACCTTTTGACAAATTCTCTATATTTGTCTTTTACTTGTACTGTTACTTAGAATTCAGAGTCGGTACTCAAAGCCAAGTTCGTGGCTTAAACATAGATTTTAACAAATTTTAAATTGATTTTAGAAGTGTTGGCATAATCGACTTAACCATAGGATACTCTTTGACCAATCTAATAAGTTTAATGCTTTATTATAACTTAGTGATTAATTAAATATATACAAATCTTACTGAAATATCATTCGAATCTATGTTCAGAACTGCAAATCTCTTATTACAATGTGTTCGATATGTTTGCCATCAAATTTAACAACATTTTCAATACAGAAATCATTGTGGCCTGCATATTCTCCATATTTGAATCCTTGAGGCTTCTTTACATAAAGGTATATCAAGAGTATACGAAACCAGTTCAAGGACTTTGGAAGAGCTATCGAGCGTGAAATCTTTGTCATTCTGAGAGATATTCTTCAAAGCATGATGTAAAACTTTGGAATAATATTAAGGAAAATCAAGATTGAAGTTGAAAAATTTGGTATTTGAGCAAGATTTGTATATCTTGTTTCATTTTATGCATTAAACTGCAGTGTTCAGGACATTCTGTATCGGCAATATATTTAATATACGAATGAGTACGTTCTCCCACCTCTAGCAATTATTGTTAAGATAAACTCTCAACATTTCAAATATAAACAGATATTTCATAAATTAGTTGTGTTAACATGTGGATTAATATTAAATATTTATAAAAAATTATCAGAAATAAGAAATATATAAATTTCTAGATAAAAATTTGTAAAATTAAAACATCAATCTGTGTGTATGTCTTCTGTGCATTTGCATCTCTTGCATACATACAGTGTCTTCTGAAAAGAATTCTACCATTTTAAGTTATTGTTAATTATTATCAGAGAATGTTATAATGTACTGTACATTAAACATTAGTAAAACTGTCCAAGTTTTACATTTGTTCATTACAATTTCTTCATTCACCTCAGGTTGCATGGCACGCATCCAACTGATACTTGTATTTTTTCCATGCTTGCTACAGCACTATACCTTCACCCTCGGCAGCCACAATTCTACATCTGCAGATTACTTGTGTTGTGAAATTACGAGCAATTCCAATTCTGCAAACTTCAGAACACAAAACTCCTTCACTATTGCAGAGTAAACATTTTTGTTTACAGCACTTTCTAGAGGTAGTAAGCGACGAGATGTTCGAATGTCGACAGAGTCAAAACTCGGATGGTTACTCTATCAATTGGCGTATGCTGCGTACTTCTCGGATGAGAATTAACATACAGTAATTTAAAACGGTAGCATTCTTTTTGGAGGATCCTGTATTAAATGTATTGTTGGTACATAAGTTGGTTATTAGTTCCACATGTAAAATATAGAATACAAAATGTTAATTTTTGAATTTTAAACTGTTTTTTTTTTTAATCAAATATTCAGAATACAGGTATTTTTATGTTTTTCATGAAGATTATATTCATTTTCCTTTAAATCACTTAGCAAAATTCCAACTTCTTGAAAGAAAATTAATAGTAATTTAATTATAAATTTTGATATAATGGATTTTTTTCTGTATGTTTATTAAAATGTTAACGATAGATTTTCGAAATTACATATAATTTATTTTTTTGCAAAAACAAAATTGTAATTTGGCAAATTATGGAGATTTTCAGAGCATTCATAAACTAAACTGGGAGGATCATCGAACAGGCTAAGACTTTTTTGAACGTCGACTCGACCTCAACGCCATCTCTCTACTAAAAAAAAAAAATATCGTTTCACGTTAATCAACGTTATTGATTTTGGTATTATTCTCCACCTCTTTATTAATATTTTGCATGACTCACGAAATTTTTTAAAATTAAAAACAAAAATTTCAGTTTTAAATTCAATAACGTATATTTTATTACTTTAACATTTAAATATATATATATACATAATTTTTTAATTGTGGAAAGCATTATAGTAAAATAATAATTACGTGTAACGATATTATTTAGGTAGAAAAAAAAAAGGAATTCGAATCGATTGAAAAATTCTTAAAATAACAAAAGTCGTCGTCCATTTTTGAGAATTTTAATTTCGACCGGCAGGGGTCGTTGATCAGTGACTTGTTTATATGAGTAGTGTGAATGGGGGTACGAGTTCATTATTCTTAAAATAATGTTTTTTTAAAGAGCAATCGGCGACGTTACCATAGGAAAAAGTAAGTAATAGTTGTAAAATAAGACATATTTTTGTTACATTTGCTGCTTTAGAGCTATCAATGAAGCTATTTTGTATAGAAAATGGCAATTAATTAGCTAAGATACTAAATGTTGGGTAGAGGTTACTTTTAATTAAATGGCTCATATATACATATATGAGTAAATGACCTAAAGGTAACACCTACCCAAATGTGTGTAAACTGAATGGAAATTATTAATTTTAATGGGAATAGATTAATAAAATCCATGTTTATTTTTAATATTGGGATGTTTTCATTGAAATGTTTATCTTTGATCTCTAAATAAATAATATATTTACCTTAAATTCCAATTGTTTATCCTTATTTATATATTTGAATATGAATATCAGATTTAATATTGTTATTACATCCTTTGGAATTTTATACTTCACGAATTTTACCATATTTGTATTATAAAGTGGTTTCGAAGATAAATTTAAGTGTAAGTTTCAATAATTCTTAAATTTCCTTTTTGTTTGTCTGACGGTTAGGAGAAAACTTAATGTTTGTTGATACGGAAAGACGTATGCTACATATGGTTGGATTGAGATCTTCTGGGCTCTTTCCATGTGTTTTTATGATGGAAACTGGTGGTTGTTGACCTATCTGATGCCATGGAACACAATTTGTATACTTTTTATTATATTGAGCATTAGGGTGCAGCTATGCGACGAGAAGAGGTGATGACATTTCATGCTCTCTATTTCTCACCCTTGTTATTATGACCACACAGAGGAGACTGAGAAACAGAGAGCGTAAAATATCATTGCCTCTTCTTGCCACACCCTTAGAATTGATATATTCAAAAATTTTTAAGTGATTTTGTATTTACTGTATCAGGAAACAATGAAGTTATAAACTAATTAATGTATTGAATAAAATAGCAATGTGGAATTGTCTATGAATGTGGTAATACGTTATTGTATATTGGATTAAATATGCAGTAAAACCTTAGTCCCCATCCCCGTAGAACACTTGAAGCAAGTTTGCGGAACACTGGTTAAAAACCACTGTCGTAAATTGTAGTTATAGAATTCTTTATTATTATTTATTAAGTTATGATATATTTAATTGCCTGTTTTTCTTCTTCAATTTTGGGACTGTTAAGAATTACAGCGTTTAGGTGTGGGTCTAGTGATAATCTGGCTCTATGTATAGCTAATATAATATTTAATGGGTTTGGGTTCTTTATTTGTATGGAGAAAATAAATATGAGAATTATTTGAATTAATGCTTATTATATTTATAACAATTTGCTTGTAAGAAGGAATGTTTGGATGCTTTAAATTTGATTTGTATGTTATTGTAATTAGAATTTGGATTTTGAGTGGATACATATTGATATTTGATCATAATCCTGCTAAAATTATGATTAAAAAAGTGTAGGAAAGTAGAGCAGTTTTCAATTCTTCTCCTGTGATTGTGATTTATGACTTCAGCAGGTTGGCAGTTGTGTCTGGTAGAATTAAAATTGTATCATCCACATTGAATCAAAGCCAATAAAGTGACTCACTTGAATAGACTCAACATATGTAGATGTTAACATTATTTAAAAAAATTAATTAATATGTTTGCATGGCTATTAGTAAATACTGTTTAATAATATAATGAATAAAGCAAACAAATGTATACATGTTTTCTTTCAGTGAGATGTTATCTAGTTTTTGTGATAATAATCTTAGCAAAGTTGGAATTTAGCACACTCTCTAAAGATTTGGAATTGTTTTTAAACTTGAATTCCGAGCACTGATACAAAATAAAGATAATCAATAGTTTTAGTGTTTTTAAGGTACTTATTTTTCAATGGTTTACTAACAATACATCCATCATTAATGATTATTAACAATATTTAAAACTAATCTATGTAATTCTATATATGAAAATGCAGTTCTGAATGAAGTGGGTGGGACTTTATCAAAGCTGTAAACCATGCCCATAGGAGTAGAAAAGTAACCAATAGTCTATCCATGACTATTCATGAGATATAGCCCCCTTAAATCAGCATATCTGAAATTTGGAAGGTCCTCAAAAATGGGGTAAAATTTTAAAGTGAAAACATTTGGAACTTTTCTGAAAATAATGCTAAAAATCAATTGTTTTCCACATTACTAGAGATGGCTAAAAGATCATAAAACGTGAGAAATGCCCATTGCACCGACTACTACCGTGGCACAATCGGGTTGTTCTGTGTGCTCTGTTAATCTTATCGTATGTTTAACAAGCTGATTTCAGGAGCTATATCTTTTGAAGGGTCACTTATCGATCATTGGTTCCTTTTGACATTTTTTTTACTCCTAAGAGCATGGTCTGCAGCCATGATAAGGTCTTACTCACTTCATTCAGAGCTGCATCTGTACTATATAAACAATAATTGAATTTAAAATAGCCTAAAATTGTTTTAGATAATTTATAGATAGACCTAATTAGTTCTTTAAAATAAAATACATGAAATAAAATTTTATTTAAACTACGACAATGGAAAGCTGGAATGTATTTAAATATTTAAGAATCGGACAGTTTTCCAGCAAAGAATTAACTATCTGATGGATGTTTTCGACTTAGTTTACAAGTCTGCCTCAGGTTCATATAGAATGTCCTATCTTGGTGTTTCGTATCTTATCTAAACCTGGTTGGTGTTCTGTAATTTAAGTTCCAAAAGTGTTATAGAATGAAGTTGTGTTCCACTTTTAAAGTGATAGAAAGTTCTATATGGACCTGAGGCAGATTTTGTTAAAATTGCATTGAAAATGTTTGTCAGATAAACAATCCTTCACTGGAAAGTTCTCTGGTTGTTACAGTCAAGTAATTTTTTTATTTACTATACATTATGATAAAAATAAATGCAAAAAATTGTAATGATTAATATTGTTTTTTTTTAAGTCATCCTTTGCTATCATAGCTAATGATAAAATATCAAATGATGATTAAGTAATAAACAATTTTGATATGCTCTATTTATATAAATTTATCATTTGAAGATATATTTGCTTCACTGTTCGAAGACGTATTTTGTAACATTTACATAAATTTAATTTAAAAAATATATTATTAACTGTAATGAGTTAAGTAAATTATTAAGCATAAATTATCAAATCGTTTTATTTTAAACATAGGGTATTGTCAAATAAAAATATAAATGAATAATTTATTTACAAACTTGAAAGTTTCTGGCTGCATATCTTTAAATAAATTTTGTCAAATTTATATAAAACATGAAGAAAATAATATGACAATTTGAGCTAGAAAGTTTATTATATGTTCTTAATTCTATACAATGTCCAATGTGTAAAATAAAAATAGTATATTATACTGGGAATGGCCAAACCTTGTCATGATATGAGCCATACTTTATAACTGGCAGAACTTTACTATTAAATTTTCAACTTTCTAAATGTATGGTAACTTTAGATTTCGGTTGCCTTGCAAGGTCAAGTTGTGAGTCATACTTACACTGTATGTCTACCACACTACATAACAATCAGAAAACTTACATATGTATATGTGATATGTACAAAGTTTATATAAATATTGTATAAGGAAACTGCACTAAGAGTTTAAAAGAGCCATGTATGGCTCATGAGCTACAGTTTGGCACAAAGTATTATACGTTTAACTATTAGAAGCAATTTTTTTTTTTTTTTTTAATTTTTAATACAAATATACATATTAATTGTAAATTTTAAAGATTCAAATTCATGCAGACATTTGATAAAAATTATTAAAATATATTTTCACTGTGTTCTAAATTTACTATATTATTATATAACATTATGTATAAATGCTATCTATATAATATAATTATAGTAATTACATATATACGTGATGATCGTAAACATGATTTATACTTAGAGTAAATATAAAGCGAACTTTAAACAAACAAATACAGTTTAAAGATAAATTAATATTTGTAAATATACAATTATCTATGAAAGTAAGTAATATTGAAAGAAAATATAAGATAATGGATATTTTTCTAGAACTTTACAACTTAGTTTACTCTTAATAAGTTCCTTTTACATGATTTATAAATATATTATTACGGTATAGGCTATATAATATTCTATAATCGTGTAAGTACATTATGCATACAGAGTTATTTTAATTTTTATTTTAAAGACGATACTTCCGTTTTTTAAATTAACGATGAAATGAATTTATTACGGAATTATTATTATGGTAAAATTGTATATATTTACAATTTTAATGTAAAAGTAATTTCAAGGTAATAATACAAGTGTAAAAATATGAATTGCTATTTTTCAGATATTCTAAATTTAACTTTTAATACAATTTAATATAGAATTTTGCTTATTATATGGTTGTTGTTTTCTTTTATTTAAGGGTTATTAGGGTGGTTCTTTCTTGTTCACTGGACATTACTGGTATTAATTTAAATGAAGTAAATAAAAATTTTAACAGTTGATTATTCATGTAATTTTAACTTAGTTTCGTATTAATTTGAAATAAAATTGTAATTAATTTTTTAAGAATTGGTAAAAGAATTTTTTTGATAGTGTCAGAATAATTTGTACAATGAGTAAAAGACCTTTTGGTTAAGGTCCTTAAAGGCTGCAGTCTTATGTATGTAAGGGTTGTGGGAGCTTGCAGGTATAAACAAGGGTGTGTATGTTGGTAACAAACGTTTGTTATAAACCAACATACACGCCCTTGTAATATTGACATTTTGTTGTTTCAGGGTTGAGAATAATCCTCTATCTGATTAATCTATTGAATGCAGGATTGTTCAGAATTTTGACTGATAGATTCAATTTATTTTTAGGTTCTCTACCCAAATACGTTGCATTTTTTGTTTTAAAATCGAATTTAGAATATAAATTGAAGTAAGAAAATGTAGAAAAAAAAATCAGATTTTCAATTTTTTATTGAAAAATTAATATATTATTATATAGATCTATAAGCTATGCATTATTTATATACTAAAGTGATGTATATGTAAATATAAACTGGATATAAATGGA